CGCAAAAAAATATTAGTAAAAAGAAGGTTAGTTTTTTTTAATAAATTGTTAGTAAAATTAATTAACTTAACAAAATTCGATTTTCAAATACTTATTTTAATTTATAAATTTTATAATAATTAGCTATGGATAATAAAGTTTTATGCACTTGTATATTTTGTATGCAAGAAACTAATGGTCATGGCAAATTAATAAGTATCTCTTCTCGAACAAGGCATAGAAAACGAGAAAAAAATCTTCAAAATTTTTTTCAAATTTCAAATAATACATCTAATAATATTTTAAATAATTAAATAAATATTGTTAGTATGGAAGATATTAAGGAAAATATTGAACAAAGTAAGATAAAATTTTTTTTAGATTATTTTGAATTAATTTTTTTTAAAATTGAATTAATTTTTTAAATTTTTTAGATTTAGAAAATGAGGAATTGGAGGATGATGAATTGGAAGAAAATGAATCAGAGAAGAATGAATCAGAGGAGGATGAATTGGAAGAGAATAAATCAGAGAAGAATGAATTGGAAGGGAATGAATCAGAGGAGGATGAATCAGAGGAGGATGAATTGGAAGAGAATGAATCAGAGGAGGATGAATCAGAAGAGGATGAATTGGAGGAGGATGAATATGAATTGGAGGAAGATGAATCAGAGGAGGATGAATTGAAGGAGAATGAATTAGAAAGTAGTGAAAAAATAAGTTTTGAATCAGAAGAGAAATTTAATAATACTGAATTTAATGGTAATTATTTTTAATATTTTATTTAAAAAATAGTTCTTTAAAAATTTTTATATTAATATTTTTATATTTTAGATTTACCAAATAAAATAATTAAAGGGCTTCAGCTTCTTTATATCAAAGATAAACATACAATCTCTGATCAAGCATTTAATGAAATAGCAGAAATTTTTAATATTTCTAATGTTTCTTTTTATCAGCTTCGAAAAGTTTTAGGAAATTTGGTTTCACTAGAACCAAAACTTATAGATATTTGTTGGAATTCTTGCTGTGCATTTACTGGACCAAATGCTAATCTTAATACATGTCCTATATGTAAAAAGTCACGATATACAACTAAAAAAAAATTCAAAAAATCTCAAAAACAATTAGCATATTTTTCAATAACAGATAGCTTAAAATTGCAATATAAAAATCTATCAAGAGCAAAAGATCTTAGATATCAGTATGAATATATATCAAGAAAAGAATATACTTCTGAGAATAGCAAAATTGAGGATGTTTTTGATGGTAATAGATATAAAACTTTAGTAGCATCAGGCTTATTTTTAGATTATAGAGATGTTGCTTTAATTGCATCTATGGATGGTTATCAAATTTTTAAGCAGAAACGAAATGACTGTTAGATAATTTTGCTTTTAAATGCAAATCTTCTACCATCAAAAAGAGTAAAAAAAGAAAATTTAATAATTAATATGGTTATACCTGGACCAAAATCTCCAAAAGATTTTAATAGTTTTTTATGACCATTAGTTGATGAATTAAAGCAACTTGAATGTAATTTTTTAAAAATTTTAAATTATATGATTAATAGTATTAAATATATTAATTAAATTAAAATTTTGTAGGTGGTGTAACTTGTTAT